GAGCACAATTGAGTGTCCTGGAATTCCCATTCTTCTTAGTGTTATCTATGATTTGTTATGATCCACACAGTCGAATGCCTTTGCATAGTCAATAAAATGCAGGTAAATATCTTTCTGTTACTGTCTGCTGATACAGCCAGGATCCACCTGACATCAGCAATGATATCCCTCATTCCATGTCCTCTTCTGAATCCAGCTTGCATCTCTGGCAGTTCCCTGTTGATATACTGTTGCAACCGTTTTTGAATTATCTTCAGCAAAATTTTACTTGCATGTGATATTAATGATATCACTGAATAATTTCTGCATTCTGTTGAATCACCTTTCTTTGGAATGGGCACAAATACGGATCTCTTCCAGTCTGTTGGCCAGGTAGCTGTCTTCCAAATTTCTTGGCTTAGACAAGTGAGTGCTTCCAACGTTGCATGCATTTGTTGAAACATCTCAATTGGTATTCTGTCAGTTTCTGGGATCTTGTTTTTCACCAGTGCCTTCAGTGAACTTGGACTTCTTCCTTCTCTACCATTGGTTCTTGATCATACGCTACCTCTTGAAATGGTTAAACATTGACCACTTCTTTTTGGTACAGTGGCTCTGTGTATTTCGTCCATCTTCTTTTGATGTTTCTTGCGTCATTCAATATTTTGCCGGTAGAACAGTTGAGGATACAGTTCTTCAATCAGGACAGCCTCTTCTCAGATGTGCCTGCAGACAGGCCTCTGGCCCTTGGCCCCTCCGTCCAGCCTCTGCCCTGCTTGGGCAAGGGTTACAATGCTCTTTAGTTCTACCAGTAAGTGCCTAGAGGCACCTCACTCTTCCAGTAAGCCTCAACCCGGAGGCGCTTAGCTCTCTCGTTCCATGGGTTGGCGAGCCTAGCTCTACCGACAAGTGCCCATAGACACCTCACTCTGCCAGCAAGCCTCCTGCACGAAGGCACTCAGCTTCCTTGCTCCCTGGGCTGGGAAGCTCACCATACTGTCTCCTGCTAGTTTTCTGGTTCTGCTGTCTCTGCACCCACCATTTCTCTGCCACTGCTTCTCGCCGTCTTGTCTCCGGTGTTACCACTCTCTTTTTCTGTCTTCTGGGTCTAGAAGAGTCTCCGTACAGGGATCTCAGTTCCAAAGGATGTACTCCGCTCCCATCTCTTCTTCTTAGCAGTAGTCAGGTCCTCTCTGTCTGTCTCTGGGAGGCTCATTTTAAGCCTAGCAAGATGGCAAAACTGACCAATCCCCTTGTTAGGGTTCCAAACATCTTATTTGCTTGGTCCCACCCAATCATTTGGTGGGAGTTACAAGACCATGACAAGAAGGGCCATATAAAAGCAATCCTTCACACCGCAGTTTCCATCATAATTCATTCTCTCTCTTCATACTTTCATTTGATCATCTCATCTACTTCACTAGCATCAATATGCTGGTGATTCCTAAACCTTCATAGCCTACCTCTGTAGGAGCCAGCTGGACTTACCTACTTGGATATCTTAATAGACTAAAAACCAAAACCGTTGCCTTGGAGTCAGTTCTGACTCATGGCAACACCATGTGTGTTAGAGTAGAACTGAGCTCCATAGAATTTTCAATGGCTGATCCTTTGGAAGTTGATCACCTGGCCTTTCTTTCGTAACACCTCTGAGTGGATTCAAAGTGCCAGCCTTTGGTTAAGAGCCAAGCACTTAACTGTTTGCACCACCCAGAAACTCTGATGTCTTAATACCAACCCAAAACCAAACCCATTTCCGTTGAGTCAATTCTGACTCCTAGCAACCCTATAGGACAGAGTAGATCTGCCCTATAGGGTTTCCAAGGAGTGGCTGTTGGATTTGAACTGCCAACCTTTTGGTTAGCAGCTGAGCTCTTAACCACTGTGCCACTAGGGTCCTGATGTCTTAATACTACCTTAAAATTAATGTGTACCTATCTAAACTCATTAGCCTCTGTCTCAGACATCTGTTATCTCCTGTAAGCTCAGTCTTGGCTAAATGGCATTGTCACTCATCTAGTTCCCCATGCGAGGAAATTTGTTGTACATAAATGTTTCCTTCTCTCTCATCTCCCTCATCTAATTGATTACCAAATCTACTTGATTCCACCCCAGATATGTCTCTTAAATTTGGCCTAAAAATGTGTTTATTCTTTAATCCCAGCAAGTCTATTTGTAGGAGCTTATTTAGAAAATATAATCCTGAATATAAACAAAGTTTAAGGCAGAAATTCATCATAGTATTGTTCTTAATAGCAAAAAAAATTGGAACCAATCTAAAGTCCTATACCACTGGATTGTTTAAAAACTGTGACACCTATCCCCTCACAGTGAAACGTTTTACAGGCAATAAAAACTATGAAGAAGCACATTTAAATGACATGAAAAGTTATATTCATAAATATAGTGAAAAAATTATGTTTTGAAACAGTAAGTGTACTCCGATACCCTAACCATTAAAACAGAACTATATATGTATCTATGTTAGTAGAATATATACAAATAATAATCTAAGAATATATATGCAAAAGTCCACGTTAATTCTGGATGGTACTATTTTATTCTTTTATTTAGTAATATTTTCTAAAGTGTATACAGTAAACATGAACTACTTTTGTAATATGCACATGCAGACAATTTGACTACTCCTTTTCACCCCCAACTCTTGTGCAGTGTCTCATTCACCCCAGTTGTTGCTGTGTTAGTCCAACTGCTCATTGTCTCTGGATTAGACTATCATAGTACCCCACTTGCCTCCATTGTTCAGCTATCTTCCTAAAAATCCTAGCTGATTGGGTTTTTTCCCTTACTTAAACTATTCAGTTAAGTAGCTATATATTAAATCTCTAAAATCATTAAGAGCAGAGTAAATTTTGAATGTTTTTCCTTGTTACACAGTTTCACAATCTGGTCTGAAAACCTTAGTCAACTGGAATTTAGCCAGTTTATGATTTAATTTAAAATTTTCTCCTAACCCTAAGCAAGTCACTTTTGACCACAGCACAGATAGCTTGGCACACTTGGGGAGTGGAGGAAGGAAGCGAAAATCTTTGCTCATCCCTTCCTGTCTACCACTACAAGTCTCTGCACTTTGCCCTTGATAGGTGGAGTTTTTTTTCCTGTGCAAGGGACAGTTTACTGGTTTTCTTAAGTATTTAGTCAGTAAAAACAAACAGCCAAATAATGAAAATTCATCAATTTTCATGCCAGTTATTATATTAGCAGATCCTATTAGGAGTGTTTATTGAAGCACGTCATGCTAATATTGCCAGGGTGTAATTAGACTTGCAGTTTTTTCTTGCTTTCGAGGAGTTTGCAACATATTCCAGACGGTTGAATAGGAGAGAGTAGACATTTTATATTGTCTTTTCATTCATGATGAAGAGGTTGACGTTATCTACTACTTATGCTACCATTATGACTTTCGTTTGACTTAAACATGCGAGGAATTTAAAGTGTATGTTGTTTTTTAACTCTTCTTCTACTATAGTCAGCAGTTAACAGGAGATAGATTCTTCGCCCTTGTTAAATTGTTGAATTGTTTCAATTTAAACATTACTAAAATGAGATAATTGTATCTTAAGTAGCAACTCTTTTATAAATATGTTCCTTAATTTATTCCTGGAAATTACTCACTTGTGGTTTGTTTTTTTATACTTAAAATTACATGGTGAACTTTCTTGAAAAGACTTACATGAGACTGAAATAGAATAATTTTCCAAAAGGTTCTTTGACCTTTTTCCGTAAACTAATATGGCCTTATACTCAAAATGAGTGGGACATGTACTTTAAGTTTTGCCAATAGTCGTGATGCCTTTTCATTGATCCATTCATACTTTGTCTACCCTTATCTGACCAAGCAATTAGTCATTTGAAGTTAGCTTACCAAAAATTTGGCATCTAGCCTGTGAACTCAGACTAGAACAAAGTTAATGTACCATAAGGGCCCAGACCCATACCTTGGCTTCATTATGACCAATGGGCTAACTGGTTAGCTGACTTGAATAAAGGTAGAATAATCTGTAATTCACTTTACTGCTTGTGTATTTTCATAGTTGAATTATTTTAAGAGTTTTAATTAAAAATATATATTTGGGGGGGCAAATTGTTACCATTATTTATATCTAAGGTGTGCCTGATTTTTTTTTTCCCCCAAAGGGATTAGCTTTGATCATTAGACTTGGTCCTTGAAACTCTCTTCCAGATTTCTTGCATATAAGAAAGCATTAAAAAATATATAATTCCAAAATTATATTTTTGGTCATGAGTTATGTAGACTATTCCTAAATGTTTTGGTGAGATAAGGGGAGTAATTTACATTATATATCATCTGGCAAAACATACTTCCTATTAATTGCCTTTAAACATCTTTGCTCATTCTCAGAATTTCCTTTTCCTCTTAAGCTGCCACTTCACTACATCTTCTTGATCTTCCTCCCAAAAAAGCTGCCCTCTCAGCCTCTTCAGGCTCTTTCCTCAGTGCTTCTTCCTCGTACCCTCTCCTCGAATTTTTTTTCAGTTTTTCCAGGTAAAATTCTTACCTTTTCTACAAAATTCTTTAAATTCATTCTCAGCAACATCAAAGTTAGCCCAAACTAAAACTACCTATTGCATGCCTTTGGGATACTTTGCTCATCTTGCAGTAGTAAACTGGCAATAATTTAGGATTTATATTTTCATGGCTGATGGTCAAATTTTGTAGAACTCGTTTTTTAGCTTGTATAACAAATGTCATAGTCAAGTTATTAACAATTCAGAATTATAATTCTATCTTGGGAATATGGCAGACAGTATGGGCAAATTTAATTCTTTTTTGTTGTCTGTTTTTAAAGTGTTTTGAATATTCATTTGTTTCACATATATAATAATTTGATTTTATAAAAAAGATATGTTAAGAAAAAATTTATTAAAGAGTGATTCACACTAGAAATCCACTGAATGAAATATTTTAACTTTACATATAAAGAATGAGATTTGACTTATAAAAAATTAGGATATGCAAGACTTTCCCAGGACTATCTGTAAGAATAGTTACATGTATAGAGGAAATTTAGGCTAATTAGGGGAAATAACCCCCTCTGGGTTAGTGATAAGAGATAATAGCAGAATATTTGAAAAGAAATGCTACTTTGTATTCATATTAACTAAGCTAGAATTTTTCCCTACTCCTTCTTCACAGTGTTCCAACCTCCATCTCTTTTACCCATGCTACTTTCATCATGAGGTACAAGAGTTGTATTACTGTGATTCTCATAATTTGGGTGGGGGAGGGGGATCACTTATCTACTTGGCCCTTTTCTTAGAATATGGCATTTGAAACACTCTTGTCTTCTTGAAACATTTAGAAAATTGCAGTAATGACATCTTTCCTGCGGTTCCTTTTATCTCCTTAATATATATCTGGTATATTTAAAATCTCTTGATTACCATTTTCTCTTTGAGTGCTTCAGCCATGATGCCCCAGAGTCTAAGTGAACTTGGGTACTGACTAGAGATTCAGATTTCATTTCCTTTGTGTTCAGGCAACTTTAAGCAGAGCTCATGAATTTGCATTCCCCACAGGTCCAATTTATTACTGATCTCTATTCCTGTATCCTAGGAGACTGTGTTAGGAATTTGTACACACCTTTGTCTCATTTTCCTAAACCTAAATGTTTGACCTTAACACTATTAGCTGGTTGTCAAGTTCTGTTCACAGCGTGATTGGTACATGGTAGTACTAGCGGTACTCTAGGCCCAATGTGTTTTGACACATTATCTATGTGAGAGAGAAATGTTCAGCCACTCCTGGGAAGTCAGACTGAGTCAACTTACCTATCTAGCAAAGTGGATGAAGAATGTAGGAGAAGGCGAGCCACATAGCAGTCTGATCTTTTAATGTACGTTGACCTGCTGGTGTATAGCCCAATCAGTGTACTAGAATTTGAACTAAGTAAGAATTAATTTTCTTCCCTTCTGAGAAGGATCAAGGGTATCCCAAGAGTATTGACATTTTGGCTTGGATAATTCTTGTTATGGAGTTGTTCTATGCATAGTAGGATGTTTAGTGGCATCCCTGGTCTCTACCCACTATATGTCAGTAGGACTCCGTACCTATGGTTGTGGCAATCAGAAATGTTTCCGGACATTGCCAAATGTTTCCTGGGGTGCAGAATAGCCCATTTGAGAACTATAGCCCTACATTTATGCTTGTATCCTTGCACTTTTGATTATATGGTGAGGACAAATTCTTGTAAGATGGATTGCTGTTTATGTACATTTTAATTATTTCGGTAACTCCAGAAGGGCCATACTGATTTACATTCCTAAAACAATGTGGGAATTGCATATTTCTCTAGACCCTCATCAGTGCTGGGTTGTGTCAGTCTTTTTAATCTTAGCCAGTCTGATGGATGAGAAATTATGTTTCTGTAATTTTAATTTAATTCAAACAATTATTAAGTTGAATATATTTTCATTTTTTATTGGCCACTTGCCAGTAAAATTTTTGTGCATTGTTTGTTTTCACTCTGCCCATTTTTCTGGGAGTACTAACTTGGTGATTTGTGGGTTTATGGGATTGTTTTTCTATAGAAATTTTTCATTGTTACATGGTCGGGATTATCTGTCTTTATCTATGGTTTCTGACTTTTACAGCTAGCTTTTTGCTTATTGCTTTTCTAATAGATTTAATTTACTGAGATGTTATATATAAGATGCTCAGTAGATTTTTTTAAAATCATTTTACTGTGGTAAAAGTATATATAGCAAAACATTTGCCTATTCAACATTTTTTACATACACCTTTCAGTGACATTGGTTATGTTCATCACATTATGCAGCAATCAGCACTATTCTTTTCCAAATTATTTTACCACCATTGACAGAAACACAGTGCCCACTAAGATAAGACTCACTCTTTCTCCCTCCCTTCCACTCCTGGTAACCCCTAATAAACTTTGGTCTCTAGACATCTGTCTGTCTCTTGTAAGTGGGATCATACAATATTTGTCCTTGGGTGACTGATTTCACTGAGCATATGTTTTCAAGATTCATCCATGTTGTAGCATGCCTCGGGACTTTGTTTCTCTTTATGGTAAAGTAATAGTCCGTTGTATGAACATACCACATTTTGTTTATTCAGTTTTCTGTTGATGCACATTTAGGCTGTTTCCATCTTTTAGCTATTGTGAACAGTACTGCAGTAAACTTTGGTGTACAATTATCTGTTTGTCTGCCTGCTTTCAATTCTTTGGGGTATACACCTAGGATTAGGATTGTTGAGTCATATGGTAATTCTGTGTTTAACTTTTTGAGGAAATGCCACACTGTTTTCCACAGTGGCAGTCATAGAATTTTAAATTAAATTGAATGTACAAGAACATTGGTGCTTTTCCAAGGAAAGAGTGTGTGCGCGTGTGCATGTGGTCATGTGTGCCCGAGTGTGTATGCATCCTCCCCACCAAGATAAGCATTTAAGGCTATAAAATTCGCTCCCCTCTAAACACTGCCTTCTCTGCATTCTACAAATACTTATATATTGTATTTTATTATCATTTCATTCAGATTATTTTCAGATTTCCACTGTTATTTCTTTTTTGCTCCATAGATTATTTAGAAGTGCATTGTTTACTTTTTAAACATTTGGGGTTTTTCTAGATGTCTTATTATTATTACTGATTTTTAATTCAGTTTTGTTCAAACCATGCATGTATTTAATGCTTTTAAATTTGATTTATCAGCATACGGTATCTCTTGGTGAACGTACCATGTATACTTGAAAAGAAAATGTATTCTGCAGTTGTTGGGTGTAGTGTTCTAAACATGTAGATTAGGTCAAGGTGGTTGATAGTATTGTCTGGGTCTTCTAAACCTCTATTGATTTTTTTTTTGTAGGAGGGCTCTGACTCTTCTATCAATTGCTGAGAGAGGGGCATTAAAGTTCCAACCATAATGGTGTGTTTGTGTTTTTCTCCATTAAATTTAGTACTTTTTGACTCGTGTATCTTTGAGTGCTGTCATGAGAGGCTATGTTAATGGGAGATCTTGAATGCAGGGAACAGGAGTGTGTGAATTCTTTGTGGGAAGCTATAGAAAGGCACTGCTGAGTGGTGGTTAGGGGATGTGACATTATGAACAGGAGGATTGTGGGGAATTGTTTAGCAGGATGTATTGTGTCAGCAGACCAGAGATGGGGTCAAATGTGCCGCTGAAGTGCTTCAAACTTTGATGGCTAACAGCATGTAGAATAATAGTGATTTTTAAAAAGTGGGCAAGGTGTTGGTCCAATAGACACGGGAAAGAAAGAATTAATAATATTGATTAAATATAGAAAATGCAACAGGGAGAGCTGAGTTAAACAGTTCTAAGAACCTAGCAAACTGGTGTATTTAGTAGTGACTTTGGGTGATACTGATGAAAATTCTCTTTGCGGCCCACTAAGTTTGGCAGGATACACAAATATCGGCATCATGTAGGTAATAATGAGAGGTTCAAGATTGGTGAGAAAGCATGAGAGGTTCTTTCTACTGAGTTTTTGTTATACTTTTACTATGAAATCATTCATTTCTAAAATAATTTTGATAAGTTTTTATTTTTATATTGTCTCAGCTCAATGTTACTTTCTCATATAAACTCTCCCTAATCACTAATCTACAGTAGCTCCCCTGGTTACTCTCTATCTGAAATTATCTGGTTTTATTTACTGATCTTTTCCTCCTATCAGAATGTAAGTTTAGGATAGTAGGGACTTTGTCTCTTGCTCACTGCCATATCCCCAGCACCAGGTGTGGTGACTACATGTATTCGGCTCTTAAATATTTAGGGATTGAATGACTCTAACCTGTTAAAAAAGAAACGCTGTATACTGAGTAAAAGAAATATAGGAATAAGATGTTTTATAATTTGAATTTACATACCTCACTAATGTTTACCAGCTGTTTTTTGGAGTCATAAGGTAAGGCCTCCAGTTATTGTTTATTTCCCCCCAAGATACTGTGCATGTCGCTTCACCATATGGAAAATGATGGTTAAATGTGATCATAGATTAGCCTGCTTTATTATATGATTATGACTTTGAATTCTAAAAAAATGGAATTTCTTACTAAAACCTCTAAACACGTATACTGGTCACTACTATATTTTAAAAGGCAATATATAACTTAGAAATATGATAAAAAGAAATAGAAATACCAAGATAGAAATAATTTAATCAGTTAGCTTTACTGAATACCGGTTCTTTGCAACCCTTGAGAGGTACAGAGGTATGAAGACCATCTTTGTCAGTTGACAGTGTAGTGGAGTAGGTAGAGCCTGCACATAGCAATATTAGTAGCACAAACTCTCATCTGATAAAATACATGCCAATTAATAATCTTTTACATATTTTTAAATAAGATCACCTAAAGTGATCTAATTTTTATTTTATTTTAAGCTTTGGTAGAATACTATCTTCTAACACACATATGAAACCTTATTATTATTAAAATTAAAATCTTATCTGCTCATCCCACTATAGTGTTAGAGATTTGGATAGCTTGGGTTTGATAGTCCTCAACAGCTGCCTTCAATTTAGTAGTTACTCTTTAGGAAAGAATTAAACACTTGCAGTTTAGGTGTTACTTTTCATTTTTAGGTCTTTGAATGTGGACTCTCTCCAACACGTGGTGTTTTCTTTTGCTTTGTGGCAAAAACATAGAGATAAATTATATTGCAAAATGATGTCACAGAAATAGCTATGGTCTTTCTCCAAGTAGTAAAGAGTAATCCGGCAGTTTTACTAACTTGTTACAACTTTCCTCTCTCCTCTGTGTTCTCACCTCAAAACCTGTGCTTAATCTCTTATATTGATAATTTGGTTTATCTCCCTGCCATGCCATTGATACTGCTCTTGGATTTGTATAGGAAGGTTTGTAATGTCCTCTTGACAAGGTTAATGATCCTCAACTTCTTTGAGTTTTTAACTTCATTAGCATTGTTGAATTACAGCAGGATCATTAATCCACAGATTAATTTTTTTAATGTTGTGCATTTACTCTGTGCCAGATAAAATACCCTCCTGGGAGCTTACAGTCTAGAGAGGGAAGTAGACAATAAATACATAATCACACAAATTATGAATACAAATTGTAAAGAATGACATGAAGAAAAAGTTGAAAGCGCTATGGAAGTATTATGGAGAGCCTGGTTAGATTGCTGGGTGGGAGAAATAGAATTTTAGCCAAAACTTGGACAGTGGATAGGAACTAGACAGGTAAAGAAGATATGAGGGATTATTTCTGACAGAGAATATATTGTAGTGAAAGCTTTGGTGTGAAAAGATTGGGGAATAAAGAGGCAATGGGAAATAAAAAATAGAATAAAATCAGGCTAGAGCATAGTATGCTCTGGGCAGAGTGACCATGTCATAAGTGAGAATGAACATAGTACAACTGAGATAGGAAGCCATGGGAGGAGTTTAAACAGGAACAGGACATCAGATTTATATTTGTGTGTGGATTCATGATTTATTTTTTAAGTAAACTAGATGGGGCTTGGTGCTTAAATATATAGGGGTTAAAGATTGAAAACAAGGAGCCCTGATGGTGCAGTGGTTAAGTGCTTGCCTGTTAACCAAAAGGTCAGCAGTTTGAACCCACCAGCCTTTCCATGGGAGAAAGATGTGGCCGTCTGCTTCAGTAAAGATTTATAGCCTTGGAAACTCTATAGGGTCGCTGTAAGTCAGATTTGACCCGACACAAGTTTAGATTATTGGTTTTTAAGGATTGAAAATGGTGTCCCTGGATGACACACATAGTTAAACACTTGACTACTAGCTGAAAGGTTGATGGTTCAAAGCCACCCAGAGGTGTCTCAGAAGACAGACCTGGAGATCTGCTTCCAAAAGGTCACACCCTTGAAAACTCTATGGAACACAGTTCTACTCTGACACACATGGCATTGCTATGAGTAGGAATTGATGCGACAGCAACTAACAGCAGGGGTGGAAAAAATTACGTTCTTCCGGTTGTGCTGCTATTCTCACTTTAGATGAAGATTTACAGAACAAAATAGTTTCTCATTAAACAGTACACATGTTGCCCTATGACAGTGGTTAACAACCCCGCTACATGTCAACAATGACTCAGGTTTTAGGCTGGGCTTTTAAAAATACATATCCTTTCTATAACTGAGGGCAATGAAGATTGTATGTAGATTTGTACTGTGATTTCATTCATGTAGTTTCCCTCCATTTGGTGGGACAACCCTGAAATTAACTGGAGGTATACCTGGCTGGGAGCACTGGTGGCATAGTGGTTAAGAGCTCGGCTGTTAACCAGAAGGTTGGCAGTTCACCAAAAGGTTGGCCGTTCAAATCCACCAGCCATTCTTTGGAAACCCTATAGTTCTACTCTGTCCTGTAGGGTCGCTATGAGTTGGAACCGACTTGACGGCATCTAACAATACCTGGCTCAGTAATTTTCTAATGTCTTCAAAATACAGTTCATTGTTTCTGCTAAATATTTTGACCCATAGAGTATTGGCCATCTTGAATCAGGCAATCATATGGTCTACTGTGCCAGAAATGACAAATTGAAGACGAATGATATCGCATTCATAGTCAAAAAGAACATTTTAAGATCTGTCCTGAAGTACAGTGCTGTCAGTGATAGGATAATATGCATACGCCTACAAGGAAGACTAGTTGATATGACTATTATTCAAATTTGTGCACCAACCACTAATGCCAAAGACGAGGAAATTGAAGATTTTTACCAACTTTTGCAGTCTGAAATTGATCAAACACACAATAAAGATGCATTGATAATTACTGGTGATTGGAATATGAAAGTTGGAAACAAAGAAGGATGGTAGTTGGAAAATTGGCCTTGGTGATAGAAACGATGCCAGAGATTGCATGGTAGAATTTTGTAAGACCAATGACTTCTTCATTGCAAATACCGTTTTTCAACAACATAAATGATGACTGTACCACATGGACATCGCTACATGGAATACACAGGAATCAAATCGACTTCATCTTTGGAAAGAGACGATGGAGAAGCTCAATATCATCAGTCACAAGGCCAGGGGCTGACTGCGGAACAGACCATCAGTTGCTCATATGAGACTTTAAGTTGAAGCTAAAGAAAATTAAAACGAGTACACTTCAGCCAAAATACGACCTTGAGTGTATCCCACCTGAATTCGGAGACCGTCTCAAGAATAGATTTGATGCATTGAAAACTAATGCCTGAAGACCAGACGAGTTGTGGGATGACACTAAGGACATCATAAATGAAGAAAGCAAAAGGTCATTAAAAAGAGAAGAAAGAAAAGACCAAAATGGATGTCAGAAGAGACTCTGAAAATTGCTCCTGAACGTAGAGTAGCTAAAGTGAATGGAAGAAATGATGAAGTAAGAGAACTGAACAGAAGATTGCAAAGACAGTTCAAGAAGACAAAGTGAAGTAGTGTAATGAAATGAGCAAAGACCTGGAGATGGAAAACTAAAAAGGAAGAACACACTTGGCATTTCTCAAGCTGAAAGAACTGAAGAAAGAATTCAAGCCTTGAGTTGCAATATTGATGTCTTTTATGGGCAAAATATTGAATGACACAGGAAACATGAAAAGAAGATGGAAGGAATACACAGCCACTGTACCAAAAAGAATCAGTCAGCGTTCAGCCATTTCAGGAGGTAGCATGTGATCAAGAACCGATGATATAGCAGGAAGAAATCCAAGCTGCCCTGAAGGTATTGGTGAAAAACAAGGCTCTAGAAATTGATGGAATACCAATTGAGATGTTTCAGCAAACAGAGTCAGCACTGGAGTTGCTCAGTTGTCTATGCCAAGGAGAATTGGAAGACAGCTACCTGGCCAACTGACTGGAAAAGATCCATTCTTGTACCCATTCCAAAGGAAGGTGATCCAGCAGAATGCAGAAATTATTGAACAATATTAACTTCACAGGTA